GGCGATTCGACTGATCCTTCTGATTGCGCTCGTCGCTCAATTTTCGGGCCGGAACGAGGCTCTCTGTTTCGGTTCCGCTTTCGGAACTGAACCCGACGGCGGTTCGAATGGAGCCGAAGCGTTCTCCAACACGGAACTCTGATGCTCCGTGTTCTGAGCGTCGCTTCCCCCTCGATTTCTATGGCGTTTCCCGGCGGAAAACGGCGGAAAAAAAGCCACCTTGCCAGGTCTCGCTTGGAGGTGAGCTTGTCGCTGCCTCAGATACCTGAGCACGTCCGTAGGGGGGAACTTTCTCTGCAGTTTTACTCGGAAACTAGCTGCCTTGAGAGAATGGGCTGGTTCGTCACCAATTAAGACGAAGACCTTCCGTACGCTGTTTCGACTCTCAGTGTGCTGTTTTCGCCGAACAACAATAACCAGCGTCTTGATCCCGGGCCAATCACAGTTTCTCGCCCTTGTTCCTCAAACAGAGTTTGCATTAGCGGGCTTCTTCAAGTCAACTTTCACGCAGGTCTTCGACTAGGCGCATGAAATCGCCTCAAGATCGTTGTATGAGCGAATGAATTGATTAATCACCTAATTGATTATGAGGGCAGGCAGCCCCTAATAAATTGGATGTTGGCCAAGTTCCTCATCGATAAAGGAGTTTTATATGGCCATGCGTGATCGAGGAGTCGAACTGTCTTTCGGCAATAATTCTAATGCTGATTCCTTTCTCTCCGGAAACGGGACTCTCAAGCCGCCCTTCTTCATCTGGTTGAGATGCCCATTCGAAGAGAAATTCTATTGCTCCACTGCTACTGTTTCCAACGAAGGTCAAACCGTTTCATGAATATCATGATGATGGTGTAATTATACCGGAGCGACAGAAAAGACTTGAATCGAGTTAAGAATGAAAAGATCCTCCGGGGACATAAGGCGCAACCCGATTGGAGAGAGAAGACGTGCGATGGTTGCCTAATGAGGCTTGTAAAGTGGGCATTCTTGTGTTTGGGCAAACGGTCGAAAAATATTTGGTTTTCTTGCGGCAGCATTCTTCCTACGCGGTGTGAAAGCTTCGGGGAACATCGAGAGCATCTCACTGTTACTCTTGAGCGAGCTTTTGGTTTGACGTTGCGAGCCCATCGTAGTCGTCGTCGTCGTCACCGCTGCCTCAGTGGGCACGGAAACCAAGTTCTCACGGCCGCAGTCAACACCTCCGAAGTCACAGCCTACAGCAACGATTAGTTGTGTTCGCGAGCGATATCTTTTCCTGGAGTTGCCTACCTCAATCAGCATGCAATCAGAACACTCTTTCGCCTTGTTTCGACAGCTGAACGCTCGCTGTGGGAGTACGTCGTGGTTGATCTCATTCGTTGAAAAACAAAGAAACCGCGCACCATTAGACCCGCGAGCCGTGAGTACACGCTGCCCATCTCACGGATGTTGAACCCGCGGAATGACAGAGCAGATTTTCGAAATACTCGCGCAAGTAATTATCGAGAGGATTTCGCTCGCGAATTCGAGGGCAAATCCTCGACCAGGCTTTCGAAAGCCGGTTTTCAACAACCGAGGTCTTTGGCTCGATCCCAGAGCCGAACTTAGATCAAGCGGAGCGAGCCCGAGTTTGCGGACAGGTTACCTGTCGAGAATATCCTCACTTTGATTGAGTCGTCAGCAATATCAGAGTTTACGTGATTGGATGAGCGAACTCGGCATCGTAGGAGGTCATGAGACTGTGCTTCCACCCAGTTAGTGCTTTTTCGAGAAATCATGAAGTGATGACGTCTCTGTGCGTCCCGCGTAGCTCTCACTGCGTGGGAACTCGAACACACTTGTTGTCTCTTGGAGGCGTCATTGGCTGCGGTTTGTTTTCTTTCCTCGAACAGAAGGGCTTGCTCGAACATTCTTATTCATGGACTCGTACGAATCTCATCAGAGCGACCTTCGTTCACACGAGCTCTTCTGTTTTCGGTGATCTTGATCTGCAGGTGTTGATTCATGGATGAATTCATCAAACGCTGCTTCAAAGCGGCAAAACGCGCCAGCGAGTATCCGAGCTACCCCCTGATTGATTACCGCTCGTTTGATTGGCGAATCGATGAATTATTCGGCGGCTGTCGGGCGTTTCCATACCGTTCGTTGCCTGTGAGGAAGGGGTTAGACGGATTTAAGGGAAAAAGCTCGGCTTAGGGAAGGATTGAAACTCGTATCCGGTTGACTCGAGCGGTATCCCGCACCCTGATTGTATGTCCATTGAATGCGGAAAGCCCCGATAGATATATACGAGGGAATTGAGTGTCTCATCGGAACCAAGAATGGTCGTGATAAAACAAAGGTGTTGATTGAGGTTACCCTCTCGGTCAGCTGGATTCTTCGACTCCATGGGGTGGCAGGTTCTCGATTCTCTCATCGCATTCCTTGATCGGTCGACGCTCGGGTCGCTAAGCGAACGTCCTGCAACGAAGGCCACACAATGCGCGCGCAAGGCGTGGACGGGGCGACGCGAGTTTGGCTCCTTCTCAGCCAGCGCCGATGGAGTCGATGAGTTCTCGAGGACCAATCACTCAGTCAGATCCAATAGAGTCGACAAACGAATCCCAGCCAACGACGAGAGCCACCGAGGCCGAGGCAGTGTGTCCAGCGATGAGCAACGAAAAATGACGAAGGGAAATCAGTCGAGCCCGTGATTTTTCTTTCGGTCCTCCGTTCCATCGTTGGACCGTAGAAATCGATCGCGGGGCTCTGCTATCGCCTTTACAAGACACGATTTCCCGTCGGTGCTTACGTCCAGACTCCTGTGCTGATACCCTCCAGCATATGCGCCCTCTTGAGCGCCAGCTCTGGTTTCCTTCCGCTGGGAGCGTGGACTTCGGATAGGCAGTCAGTCGCCTGCCGGCCATCTTCACCCAGCTGACGTTCCTGTCATACAATGGCCGGAGCGAGCATGCGCGATCGTCCCGTAGGCACACGAACAACGTCGTCGTCGTTGTCCGAAGACTGTCTAGTCTAGCCGTTTCAATAAGGAGCATCGGCTTCATGGTGATCACGCTCTAATTGTAGCCGTAGACTGACCGAGCTACAACAGCCGATTAACCTCAGTCAGTCCGATCCGGTAGACGCTTCGTAGCCGACGGGCAGAATGTCTATCAAGTGCCAGCCCCGCTCAGAGGTGGATGAACAGCCGACTGATTGACCAACGAACCGACTGAATTTTAGACGATTCACCGATGGCCATAGTCGGCTTTTCGAAATAATAGCGAGAGCACGAGCGGATGCAAGGTACTTCGCGCACATATTGGAGAACTATACCTATATATATAGTTATAAAGCCACCAATAAGCGACTCAAACGAAAATCGAAGGAACATGGATCAAAGTCATAACCTGACGAGGGAATTCTTAGACATAAAAAAAAACTTCTGCTTAGAGTGCTGGCCAGCGACGCGATTCGACCCGATCCGAGCGTAGAGCGATCGGTGAGTTTTTCACCGTCAGGAAGCGAGATCGTCAGTAAGGTCTCTCTTCTCATAGCCTCAATGGTCTCGATTTAACATCGGTAAGCATCTGGTACAGCAATTTGTACTCGTCAACTTCGACAGGGATCCCTCAGTCACAAAGCGATGTCTAGCCCCGAAGTCTTGAAGCCACGCAGAATACATGGCTCCGATCGCACCGGCAAGGGGTATACATATAAATACATCCATTTATTCGTCTGCGTCGCAGTCCGAGGATCATTCTCAACGTTCCACTCTAGTTCTGTCCCTGTACGGACATGCTACGAATCGAAATACAAGTTGCCTAATTCCCCTGGTATTCCCTAGTTCCGGATTGGATATCGATGCTTCTTGATTCTCCGAAGATATTCGAGCCGGCGACCCGCACCCAAGATCCCAACTCGAGAATCCCCAACAAGTCGGGGCTTGATTTGGAACCTCTCGTTCACCGCTTACTCTTTTCGATTTCTACCGGCATAACATGGGTGAAAGACTCGGTAGCATTGTTTTCGTTGCGGAATCAACGACTTAGAAGATTGATTGAGAGCGGCTCTTGATAGACACGGCCCGTCCCGCGAAGCTCTGGGTTCAGCTCCGTTACTACAAGGGCTCCATCCGATAGAGGGTCATGTGAATATCCGGGGCAATGAATAAACGCGGAAGTTTCGGGGAGGCTGGAGCTTGCGATGAAGACCAAGATAAGAGGGGCGGAATCAGAGTGTTGTGACGCTTCAGATGAGCTCAAGAGGCGAGGGCAGCTCGGAAATTCCCCAAAAGCCAGGTCGGCGTCGGGGAAGCAGTTTCCCCTGCCCGCTGAACTGAGATACGTTCCATCATCTCTAGTCCTGTCCCAACTCGTTGAAGAAATTGTACCAAGGAGCTCGAGGAAAGATACACGGCTCCAAGAGAACTGTCCCGTCGGGAATCGCTGCGAAGAGCTAGTGGTCGATTCGTCTCTATTCTCCGCCTGCGGTTCCGCAAGCCGTCTCTCAGTCGATGTTTTGGCGACGATCGGGTCGTCCGATTCTCCTCAGTCCGAGCTCGCCGGGCTCCGTCCTCGGACCCTCAAGCCGCAGCACCAACGAAAGTCCCCGGCTCGGAGCTGTCCTCGTAAGACATCGATTAGGATTGATCAATGATCCGTTCGAATGTAGCGTTGAGCAATTATACTGTTTGTTCAACGAAACCACCGGGGCTGCCGTTATTAGGAACGATTGATGAGCATAGGACGGTGACTTGAATAAGTGTCTCCCGCCGACCTTCGTAGAAGTTCACCGTGAACTCCATCACCGGAAAATAGTGGGTTCCATGAGATGCTCATGAATGGAATCCAAATGGATCCTCAGAACTGCACGAGCCTGACGAGCGAGGTTCATCTCGGTCACATGGATGGATACGCAGGGCCGATAACTTAGAATTTGAATCGAGATCGACTTTCAAATATGCCATATAGGTATATGGATTGAGTTAAAATGATCAGAAACAACAAGATTCGAAGGAGAAGAGAAATATCGACGCAGCTTTATCAAACACATTTGCCGTATGCGGTTTCGAAGATCGTCCCTGAACTGCAGAAGAAGAAATGTGGAACGCAGGCAGAACAACGGAAGAAGTCTCCCCTCGGATCCTTGCTCGGGTAGGATCCGTAGTCGCCCATGCCGCTGCAGAATTCTCTATTCATCCCACAGTCTCCCTCGGGCGAGCTCTCCTTCTCCACCGACTCATCGCCCGTCTCCGACTCAGGTTCAGCGATTTGTCGATCATCATCTTCCGGCTGAGGAGCATCGAGACCTGTTTGACGCTCTTGGAGCACGTCAGGGTCCTGCTCAGTCCTGCTTGAATGCTCTAAGCTCTCGGGAGCCGGCACTTCAGCATCCCCCGGAACCGTGCCCTCAGGATTCACGCTGCCGTCCTGTAAGACGTTGCTGTCACGCTCAGTCTGGGCATCCGATGACGCCGCATCGTTAAGGTTCACGACGGCTTGCTGCGACACTTCTTCACTACGTTTGAAGCGGGCATTCTGCTGGATTGAGCTGCCATCGCCCACGGACGCACTCTGTGAGACGCGGTCGCCTTGATTCACGGTGACATCCTGGAAGACCTGATTGGCGGGTGCGAAGAATGAGTTTTGCTGGAACCCGCCTCCGTTGTTGACATAGACGGTTGGTCCTGTATTGATGCCCTGGTTGACAACCTACAGAGAAAGTTTCGAATAGTAATCGGTTTTGAGCTTGCGATCTCTCGCGAGCGTTCCCAAGACTGCAAATCGCGAGTCACGTGGCAAATGGCATCTACTTCCCCAGACTTACATTTGTCGGGGGGTAGCCGTTGACGAAATTGACATTTTGGGACGCATAGCCGTTCACGGAGCCAGCGTTCGCCACTACGCCATTCGTGACGAAGCCAGCGTTCGCCACTACGCCATTCGTGGCGAAGCCAGCGTTCGCCACTACGCCATTCGTTGCGAAGCCAGCGTTCGCCACTACGCCATTCGTGACGAAGCCTCCATAGTTCTGGACGGTTCCCTAAAAACGAAATTTCCGTCTCCATCATGTGATTCCCTAATTTTTTAGTTTCTGATAGTCAGAACAATCAAAGCGAGAATTCGACTCCGGCTTGACTTACGAGGCTGACAGATACAGGCTGAGCCACCGGCTGAGCGAAGGAGCCTTGTTGATCCACAACGACCAATGTTGAGTCGCCCGCCGGAACCCCCTGCATGACACTCAATGGGCTCACGTATCCGTTGTCGACGTAAAGCGGAGTTGGGTTGAAGACGGTCGAGCTCACAACGACAGTCGAAGATGTAGAGCCACCTTTGTCACTCGGACTCGGTGGCTTGGGCTTGACCTTTGGGGGCTCCCGCTCGATCGGCTCCGGTTCGTAAACCGTTTCGACCGGATGTGATCCACCGAAATAAGGGTACCTCGACTCCGGGTAATATGGGTACGACGGAGTGGATCTCACACCTATATGAATGCAAGAGCTCTATTTCGAGGTATGATGAGGGCCTTTGTGGAGAGAACTGACAAACCAGCGAATTCCATCCGAAGGGATCGAGGGGAGAAACTTACCCGCGACGGATCCGAAAGTTGCATAGAGCGGCTCCGCTCTGTCTTCGGTGCCCCGGATTCTCTGTAGATGTCCTCGGGCTGATGCCGCGAGGCAAGAGACGAAGAGCGAAATCCGTAGGGTGCGCATTGCTAGCCAGAGGATAGAACTGACAGACGTTCCTTCCTAAGACTGGCTTATGTAGAGTGCGCTCGGGTCATTATGCCGCCTCTGCGTTTGTTTTGTAGACCGGTCATCTCAGCGAGCGCCCGATTTGAGGGGGCTCCTCCTCTGGAGATTTTTCTTCTCTTTTACGGTAGCGGAGCCAGGGCGTCGGCTGAAACGAGCGGCTCGGATCTAGGGCCACACGGGAACGAGTTGATTTTGGAAAAAATAATGTAGGTATCCGGCTTTACTTTGCCCGGGCTGCGAACCTTGGACGGGGAAGGAACATAATTTCTTCTTGCTATACGGTTCTCTTTCTGGAACACTGCCGGTCGGTGGCGCTAGGAATCGCGGCAGTTATGTTCGGAAAACAGTCAGGGATAATCATGACGGAATGTCTAGAATATTCTCCGGTGGTCCGGAGCGCTTCGCAAAGAGGTTTCGCAGAAGCACCAGAAGGCAGAATGACCCATTTACGGCGACCAGCCGCTCGATTGAGCGACACCGATGTTGTCAGCGGAGCAAGAGTTGCGTCAAGATCAAGAGAGGCGGAGTTCCGTCCGCCAGACGCGCTATAGACTCATGTTTCGGCAAGGTAAAACGGCGAGCTGTGATGGTGTAATCAGGATGATAAAATGGATCACATTTTCAGCTGAAACTGGACGGCGTCTGGAAATATGTCCTCGCCTCACGGCTGCGCCGCTGGAAGCAAGCGTGTCCTGGGTCCACCAGACGAGGATGAGTGCGGAGCACCTTCGTAGCTGACACACTTGCGATGTACTCGAGATGTCTCTCTCGATATCGGCCGCCGCGCCTCGCAATCGGCTGTTCGATGCTTCGCTGCCGATCGGGAAGGGGTCGCTCGAACAGACTTCGAGGATTAGGGAGCGACTATCTCTAGACGGAGGAGGAGCGCCCGGGACCTCTCTCGGAACTCTGACGCCGAACATCAGGCCCTTTGGAAAATTTGGAAACGAAGCAGCTGACTCTTCGCATAGTGATAAATTGAGAGAGGGGAGAGCAAGACTCCTATCCGACAAGAAGCCCATTGCTCTCCTATAACTTCCGTTGGTGAGCGGGGGACACCTTCGGGAGCAAAAGGATGATACGCACAGCGCAAGACCAAGCGGTCCAAGGATGGGGGAATGGCGTCGTCATTCCCATTCCTCATAACTCCCCATGTGACCTCTCCCCAGCTCTCAATGCTAGTGGTAGGCCTGGCGCGTATCCTCAATGGAATGATTCGACCTACTGATCTTGGCGATTGTCTGAGTCACGTGGATAACCTCTCGTGTAACTCCCAAGGATCCTTCAAGGACGTCCTGGGATCAGCATCAGCGGACGGGCAGGATCCGATCAACCCGCAGATTGATGCGGCGGTTTCTCGATGTGGCAGGCCGGGGTATGCGAGAAAAAACCGATAGGCGAGGCAAGACTTTGCTTCGTTCTCGTGAATATCGTCTCGACATTCTAGTCAAACGAACGAGGTTGAACATCTTCGATTATTCAGCAAGTCGTCATTATACGGAGCTTTGGGATCGATAGCACTCCGATGATAGACCACAAGTGATCCAATCCCGAGAACCCCAAACGAATCAGGAAAACAATGCTCTCTGGCGGCTTGTTTTCTCTCATCTAAATTCACGCCCTTCTCGATCGATTCTGTTCAAACACACGGAACCCAGCAGTGGGCTGCTTTAAACACATTAGGATGAGACCTCGGTGATTCATGAGGCTGAGATTGAGCATCCTTGTCAATTCTTCAATTTCACACGGCTCAAATCGGACACTGTCCTTCGGGGAACGTTTTTCTCCGCTTGTAACTCGGAAGCCACAGACCTGCGGCTGATTTGCGGCTAATTAAGGCTTGGCCAGATTAATTCACCGCAAGACTCTAGGAACCGGGATATCGCCCATCGAGGAGATGATGATGATGCATAGAACCCCTCATAAGCGTAGGCGTACGATGTAGACGAATCATCAAAGCCGTAGAAGGTCGCTTGGAGGCTCGATGCCCGGAATTTTTCGGAACTACCTATGAGTTTCAAGTCACCAGGTTCGAATCGCGGGTGCTCCGATGAGCCTTGCTTTGAAGCGATCTATCCGGGGTCGGACGAACCCCTATACCTGCGTGGGCGATTCCGGGCGACTTTTGCGTCATTCTTGGCTGCGAGAGACGATAACATTTTGAGGCTAACCCACTAGATTTTTCCCCCGAGCAATCCGAAGCTCGAGCCTCTTATTCAAACGGTGGATTCTGTCCACAATTCCGCCATTTGCCTTGCCTCGATAAAGACGGGCAAGAGGGCAAATGATTGATCCTGAATCGATGCGCTCCAGCTTCCCTCGGCAGACTCGGGAGTCTGCGGATTTCGTCCCGGCAGCCCCGAGGTATCTCGCGCCTTGACTGCGAATATCGGCCTGCTCCCTCGCGCTCCTCCCCGGGGAATCGGCTCACTTGAAATCAACGGAAAACGGGCCCCATGAGCGAGCGATGGCAACCGAAGACCGACTCTCCGGAAGGCGATCGCAGACGGAAACTTCAGGCTTGCCGCTCAAGATCGAGTTTTGACTTCGACCGCAGGCTCATGGTGCTGTAACGAAATTGATCTGTCGTGATCTGATTGGAAGATCAGACCTTTCGGTACATTTTTCAGCGCGCGGATGCTCTCCGCAGAGATAAGAGATTTTCACAGATCGAGCTTGGACAGCTCAAGACTCGCCGCTGTCTCCGGAACGCTCATTGGGTATCTTATGCTCCGCCTGCTCATGGACCGCCCTGTCAGCAGCACTGTCAAGAGCTGACGCTCGCGAGCTGCCAACGTCACGACGCCTGTAGTAAATCAACTTCAGGAAGAGAATCGCCGCATCATTTTTGGGATCTTTTGTTCTGAGGGATCGATTCGACGCTGCCAGCAGCGGTGTTACGGTCAACGTAGATCGACGTGGGTTCTCCGCGGATCATACGGCGGATGATTCGTCAAAAGGTCCGTCGAATGCAGTCAGAGTGAAAGCGAGGCCATCGCGGGATCCATGAGAATCGATCCTGGGAAATTATGAGGAATACTTCCTCAATTGAAATGAATTCCCATCGGAATCACCCCGAGGATCGAGTCCTATCGCATACGGGGATTGGATCTAATAGACATACGATCCTACACTATGAAGGAATGAAAATCCCGGGAGTTCTGGACCGATTGCACTGGAAATTCTGCTAGACTCGTTCGGATACGGGCCTCAACTACGGTGCTCCACTTACCTGGGTCTGCGATCAAAGAGAGGAGATCGCAGTACTTGACCGGAAGTCCCCCTGGGAGTTCACAAAAAGGTCGGTGTAGGTGGCCGCTCTCCAAAAGTCGGCTCGGGCGCTACAGAAAGATTCAGGCCGTACCATCACGCGCACATACATACATACGAGTTCAGAAGATGACATTCCTTACTCCGAAGAAGGATAGACTCCGAGAATCAAGAAGGTGTTGCTCACTCTCCATTTCGACGTAGATAAGAATTAGCAAAAAAGCTACAAAGCAGTGTCCCGGCACCGGCCCTTGAAGCGACGGTTCTCGAAAGCCAAGTGCAGCTCATGAATCGCTAGGTGTTTAATTAATCCTTCATCGGAGTTCGTATTAGAGGAAAGCATCATCACAGTCGGTGGGAGGAGAGGGCTTCATTTTGACGGAACGCATGCATTTCTCGAACAACAGAAACGCGCCGACAGATTGCGACTAGAAGCTTCGCGGAACATATCACAAGTAATGTAACATTGAACTTGTCCGACATTTCTACGAAGCGCCTGTGGGGCTCCGAAGCACACTCCTAAAGAAGGGATTTCTGAAATCAAGACACCAACGATGAGCTACTGACGATTTTGATGATTCCTAATCACGGATGAAGCTCACCGAATTTCCGTCACGAGGATGGACAATCTAGAATCTAGAAGATGGATTCGAGGCTACAAAAGCATCGGAAATTGAACAAAACAGCTGTTCGCGACGACATCCAACGGTTCTCGGAAACCGTTGGCATCCTTAGGACAGCGGACCTTTGATTCGAATAGAATTCATTTTCCAATAGAATCGAATGCGGAGAATAGAATCGAACTCTGAACTCCAAGGACTCTTTCCAGCTGAATCTCCGGATAGGTGGCCGATGATTCCGAAAGTTATCAGGAAACGTGAAGCGAAGTGGATCACTGATCGCTACTTACAACCTTGAGGACTGACTGAGTCGCTCCGCGGAGTATCTGTCATCAACTGTTGACGCCAGACATCTTAGTAAGCGGCCGAGCCAGGATAAAGTCACAACAATGGGAAGCTCCGATAACCTGAGACGAAAAGTCTCCCTAAGCCGCGACGCTGGAGATCTTTGGAGCGTCGACTGAGTCAACCGCGAATCCGAGTCAAACAGCCGCTGCCCGTCATGCCGCATAACGCTTCCGTTTCGTCGATGGATGACTAAACACGGCGGCGACGAGCGCTTGGACGCTCCGGTCGCGGGCCCACACAGAGGGCTGTTGAAGACATTCCACAGCGATGACTTGCAACGCGCGAATTCTGACGGACGGTCACCGGGAGTCATTGTCCAGAAGAACTTAACGTCCATTTTCCGAACTCGGACTTCGCGGACGAGCATGGACGTGCCGCTGGAGTTCCGCACAGAGAGAGGAACCTTGAACTCGGACCAAATTGTTGTCCCGACGCGATTCTTGAGAACTACCCGGAATCGGCATCGAACACATGCATGCAGCAACGCTAGACAAGGTCCAAATGCTGTCAAGCAACTCCCGGGATGATTTCTTTGAAATCTTCGGCAGAGTATCGATCGCTTCCGGAGCTCCTTGTCTCTCACCCCTCGAGCGTCCTCGCACTCATTCATGTATACGCAAAGAGCCGGGCTCTAGAATCCCTCCACACCGTCGTCGCGAAGCATCGGTCCCCCTCCCCCCATTCGGTCGCGAGCATGACGAGAGAGGGTTGCGACATCTACTTTCGAGAAGCAGAATCAAAACGCTCTTCGTGGAACTCGAGCAACTGTCCTCGGTTGCGATGGTGGCGTTGCGAAGACGTACAACCGGAAACAGGTATGGAAGAGGTCATATTCGCGGGC